GGGGGATGTCTGATGAATTCTAACTCAGTTAAGACTCTTCAACCATCACCTCTCTCTTCAGTTTTCTCCCAGTTTGAGCCGTGCAAACTCGTTGGCCATCTGTAGCGCCTCCTGCAGGCACTGCGTGTTCCTGCCAGTTGCCTGTGCCGACATGTCCTTGCCGCCTCCTTTGCCCTCCAGCAGGGGGCACACCTCCTGGACCCACTCACTGGCCTTCAGCCCTCGATTGGCCACGTCCTGAGGAAGAGGAGGTGTTGAAGGTTAATCATAGAGGCGCCTGCTCACTGCATGGCTGCTGCATAGATCCTAAACCACGCCTCCTCCACGTTAGCAGACGGAACATGCACCAAACTCAAACCGACGTCACAGTCGAGACGCATCGTCTATCTTTATTTACGATGAGCGGACGAGCGGACGTGTTACCTGAGGAACTTGACACAAACAGGTGATCCTTCCGGCCTCAGGGTCGACGGTGAAGAGCATTGCAGCGGTCTGAGGGGAGTTCGACTTCAGCAGCTTCAGTGACTCATTCAGAGCCTGGGGGAGGGGAGATGAATGTAAAGAAGGGGAAGGGAGGAGGGAACGAGGAGAAACAAGGTGGGTAGAAAGAATAACAAGTCTCCTAATCAGCACTATTGATGTCTCAAGGTCAGAACTAATGGGCCTCAGCGCTCGTTTGGTCCTGTGGCAATAACACAACGAGATAAGCTGTGAGACCACCTGAGAAAATGTGCCATGCTGCAGACATTAAGTGATTTTTAATAGTGTTTGCACTTTTCATTTGTTTGTCTTTAGGATGCTGATGAAGCCTTGGAGTGTGCATTATGGATTTACTCTGTGTCGGGTCTTCTCTTACAAGGACCTGTTTGATTTTCATTGTGTTCGTCAGCACAGTCGATACATTAGATGCAAAGAACCCCGACTCTCACCTTAGCTGAGGCTCCAGTCTCCATCTCCATTATGAGCAGCGGCTGGTTGGGGCTGCTTTCAATCACCTCCTTCGTCTTCTCCAGGACTCTCTTCTGGATGTCGGCCTTGTAGTTGCGGTCCAGGTCGTCCATGGTCTTCTTCAGGCCCTTCAGGGTTTCCCTCATCTCGTCCTTCTGCCACTGGGAGATCACTGCTGTGCCTATCGACTGCAGAGAAGACGGACGTGACGCCACAGTCGAGCTTTTCTATGTTCTGTTTGTCCTGGCACAAAAAAAAAAAAAAGTCTCTTACCTCGGTCATGTCGGCGATCTCTTTCTGAACGTCCTTGTTCGGGGAGGTCTGCTGCTTCACCTTGTCTCCCAGTGCGGACAGAGACTGCAGCAGGGCATCTGCTTTTCTCTGAGCCTGAGGGATGGACAGAGACGCAGGAGTGTGAGGGAGGGATGAGGGAGAAGAGCAAGAAAAAAAAAACTCAGGGAGAGGTGAAGACAAAAAAGACAAAAGAAGAGTGGTGGGAGTGAGGCAGAGGAAAAGGCAAAAAGATGAAGCGGAGGATCAAACAGCACATTGTCTAAAAATAGTAAAGATTAATTTGTCCTCAGGCCGAGAGAGAAGAGAACAATTCAGAATTCTTCTTTTGGTCTTTTTTACCACAAGTCAAAAACAAGCTTCTATAAAGTTTCATGACTGGAGTCGTTTTGTCACCAGGGACCAAATAAGACATTGTCTCTCAGACTGAGAGACATTTTTCCATTTAATTAGGCAGGTTAACCTTGACACATGCATTGTGGGAAAATAATGTCTTTGTTTTTGAACAGAGGCTCAACTCTTGTCTACCAGTGTGGGTGGATGTGTGTGTGCGAGCACAATGCTGCATGTGTGTTTCTCCACCTTCTGTGCCTCTGCTCCTGTCACAGCAACAATGCGGCGGATGCCCTTAGCGATGGCCTCCTCGGAGACGATGACAAATGGCGCAGCGTGACCCGAGTTCTGCAGATGGCTGTAGATAGCAGACACCAACAACACATTACCGACAGCGTTTCACAAGCGTGGGCGGCAGATGAAAGGGAGAGCGGCGAGGAGGAGGAACAGGAGCGGCAGAGGAAACGTTACAAAGCTACAGCAGCAGGAACGGGGATCGTTTGAAGTGGCTGCACATTTAAAACACACAAACATCCAGACGCACGACCACAGGTTCATAAAACTTGAAGCAGCACGAGAGGCTGGTGATTCTGGGACTTCCAATTAAACAACTTTGTGTGTTTCTCCGAGCTTACGTTCAAATGAGCTCTTTACGTATGCGCGGCCGTTTTCAACTCCTAGCAGCTGAAGAAGGTTTGGACTTTCGCAGTAATCAAATTAAATGAAAATTGCGCTGTAATTGGTGCCGGAGCAGGGACATCCTGGCATTCAGGTGAATTTCACAGCCGGGAGCAGACACCGTAAAAGTCAGTGGAGCACGGCCGATCGCCAGGTTGAGCACCGAGACGAGATTGTTCCACCAGCACATCCAATTCATGGGTTCCACTTTACACTTGGGCACTGGGCGGGAGTGGAAGATGTCTTCTTCACACAGAAGCAGACTCTTTATTTTCCATGTTCCGCGTTGTTGAACATTAAGAACGTACCCGGGGACAACCAGCAGCACTTCAGGTGTAACAATGAACACATTTAAATTAAAGGAGCTCTGTGTTCAAATGTTGTAAACTTCACTGAAAACTTTTGATACAAATGCCTGAAACTTCAAACTCACGTTCCACCACAAAACTCGATGGATGTGAGGGAGCCAGCAGCACTGGTGGGCTCGTCCAGCAGGTCCTGAACGGGGATGCCGATGGACACGACTCGGACTGGGTCGGGGTACGTCTCGTCGAACACGGCACGCAGACCCTGAATGGCCTTGGCTTCTGCGAGGGGGGTGTCCATGGCGTACACCGGCTGGATGGTTGATTTGGCAAAAGTTAAAAACCACATGAAGGATTGAATTCTATTATTTTGCGTATTTTCCAAAACAGACCTTAGCATCTCTTATCATGGCACAAGCGATCTCCTCCGTCCGGCGGACCTCCCCTGTGCTGAGGGCCCCTTTAGCAGTGAAGTCAAAGCGCAGGCGGTCAGCAGCGACCAGGGAACCCCTCTGGTCGGCCTCTCCAAGAACTCCTCTCAGGGCAAAGTTTAAGATGTGTGTGGCGGTGTGGTTGCTCATGATGGGCTTGCGACGAGCCTGGAGAGAGAAGGTCGATGGATATTTGTCAGAACTAAACCAGAGCTGCGTTCAGGCAACAAATCAGATTCTACAATGACTCACCTCATCTACGTGTAAGACGACGCTGTCTCCAACCTTCAGCGTTCCATAGACGGTCCCCACATGGAGGACGTAACCTCCTCGCACTTGTGTATTCTTCACTGTGAACTCCATCCTCTGCAAACAGAGAAGAGTTAGATGTTAAAGTAAATCCTGACGGTTTAGTTAGAGGGCTGGCTGATGCTTTGTGCCTTTTGTTCTAGTATTTGATAGATAAAATATAATTTAATATAAGTTCTTGAATTTGCTGGAAGAGCTTGTGTGGGAGAACAAAGGTTTATTATCAAGTCAGATAAGATTCAGGAAATCTTCACATTCTCAGCAGAAACAGGAAAAAAAATCAAGATAGAAAAAAGACATCAGTTCATTTTTTGACAGACAGCGTTCTGGAGACTGTGATATGAGCGTGTCTTCATGTCATTCCAGCTCTCACTCACGGGACAGAGACGAGAACAATTTATTATCTCTCCACTGTCAGAAATGAGGTGTTTTATTTTTCAGCCTTTGCCGACTAGAAGAGTGTATTTGTCTGCAGGCACGATTCTCCACGAGCGTTCAGACGCTGCAGCCCCATTTAAACAACTGTTAAACTCTAACCGAGCGTCTGCTCTGAAGATAAGATATTATAATTATATAATATCTCCTCAGTTCAAAGTCAACAAAAAGTGATTCTGTTCCAGCTCTGGCAGAAACTTGGATTCTTTGACTTGCAATGTGACCGCAGTGCAGTCTGGGAAAAATCCCACCTCCACCACAGACTCTGCACTTACGTCCTCTGCGTTGTCGTCCTCCCGAAGCATGAAGCCCTCATCAAATGTCTGTCCGCCCTGCTCGGCGTAGAAGGACGTCTGGTCCAGCAGCACGCCGCACTCCTGACCCGTGGTCACCTCATCGCAGAAGGCGCGGTCACGGCGCAGGGCCAGCACTGTAGCAGAGGCCTGCTGGAACTCTGCGCTCACCAACAGAATCAAGGTCAGTACGTTATCGTCCGCAAAATACAGACGAACCACTGACCTGAAGTCTGCCAGTGAAAACAAATCTCACTCACCATAGTTGCCGCTGTCGTCAGAGGTGTATTTGTATTTGAGAGAGTCGTCCGTGGCAGGAATCTTCTTGTTTCTCAGCTCATCGATTGCGTAGATGTCCAACATGATGTGGTCCTCGTCTCCAGCTCCCTTACCCTGGGACTTCAACTACACACACACACACTTGTGTTGGTACTCATAACGAAAACTCCTCAACGTCATCAGCATAGTAGAATAAAACTTACTAACTACAGTGGAAACTTCTCATAGTGATTAAAGTATTTAACAAACTGGTAACTGGTCTAAATCACCAGAGGAGGAAACTATGAGCGCAGCAGAAGAATAGTATCGGAGCAGAACCGCGGCGCTAGCATGTGCGCTCACCAAACACTTTGTTAACGAGTCTTTGACTGCACTTTAATTGTTTGTGTCAGATTAACTGGTTTTAATATCTATATTAACGTTTGAATGCCATGTTCATCCCTTTATGGACATCTTGTGGAATCCATACCCCAAACGACTGAGGCTGATTTTGAAGCAGAGGGAGGCCGTACCGAGTGTTAGGGAGGTGTTCTTAATAAAGTGCTTGGTGAGTACATACAGGCGGTAGTTGACTGTGAGGTGTTGTCCGGCAGTACGAGGCTGCAGTGCTACAGAAAACAAATTAATCTTCCTGCTGAATTCAACAACAAGGGATTAGAATGGGGCTGTAAAGTAAATGAGGATTTATTCAAACAGCAGGTGCACGGCTGCTGCTTCTAACTTACAGTGCAAAACCGGAGAACGCTGACACGAGGCAAAAAACCGTGTGTTCCCACGGGAGCAGACACATAACAAGGCTCAGTGGAGTTTTCCCTTATAGAGCAGTCAAGGCCAAATTCAGACAATCATTGGATATGAAAAGGAGTCCTTCGTCACCATCTCCTCACCTGCGCTGCCTTCTTCACCTCCTCGAACGCAGCCAAGTCCACGGCCATGCCTTTCTCCTCTGCGATGAGGGAGGTCAGGTCCAGGGGGAAGCCGTATGTGTCGTACAGCAGCCACGCAGTGTCGCCTGGACGCACACACAGAGAGAAGATGCTGCTTGATATTCAGGACAGCCGTCTGTCTGAAGCAACAGGGCTTGAAGACTCGTGTCCTCCAGTCAGAGAGTGAACACGTTATTGATACAAAGCGGTGCAATCATCAGTTCTGCCGTGCTCTTTGCAAGGACACCGTCTGTTAAGCTTGTATTTGAAGCGTCTCATTTTGGCTGAGTGCACAAATGATGCTGTCTAACCCCTGGGACGGAGAAAAACATTTGAAGTAGATGAAATTCAATAGTGTTGACGAACAGCCCCGAAGGTCGTTTCCAAGGAAAGCTGGACGTTGGAATTTCTTTATCATTTGAATTCATGGTGTGAAAGATCAGTCATTAGGATTTTAGCCTTTTCCACTGTCCAAGTATTTTATAATACTGAATATGAAAGATTTCACACGTCATACTTGACCATCAGATGAATGAAGGAAGAGATTGATCCAGTCAACAAAAACATTCAAAAGGACGGAGGGAAGCGCCTGACCGATTTTGGGGGACGACGCAGATACCGATATTAAGGAATAAAAGATTTTCAATACCAATATATCTGCAAATATATATATATATATATGAAGCAAATTGTCAATAGTTCCTAAGATGTTGATTTTTTACAGTTTAACAATAAACTTATATAAATAAAACCAAAGATATAGAACCTTAATCAAGAAAATGAATGTGAAATGGAAACATGGACATGTTAATGTGAACCAATATAAGTTCTAACATTTCTCTTTGTGCGTATTTCACCTGGGATCGTTTTGCTTTCTCCCAGACTCATGATCTTCCTGTCGAGGATGCGGCGCCCCCTGCTGAGGGTTTTGAGGAACTGCTCCTCCTCCTCATTGATAACGTCCTTCACCATCTCTGGGTCTTTCTTCAACTCCGGGAAAGCATTGCCCTGAAGAAAGAGCAAATCGATGGTGATGTTGTGCTAAATAACAGAAACTGCTAGTGTCCACAGCTAATGGTCGTTCATGCACTGAAACCTCACATCGTTACACAACAGTTAGAAGATAAAGTGCTGAAATGCTGGATTCGGTGCAACATACAGTAATATTACTATCATCCAAACATTACTCAAACTATGACAGAGCCTCCAGAATCTATTCTTCTGCAGCTCTACAGAGGCAGAACTACCGTCACAGACAAACAAGTATTTGGTTCCCCTGAGTGTGAAGCACCACTGGCAGAGGATTTATCTTCAGAGAGCACAGGGAAGGAAGCGTCCTGGACAGTTTAATAAAACATTTGACTCAACAGGTTTAATACACAACGTTAAATCCTGTTGGTAGGTGGAGTTGAGTTTTTAATGTAAGATGAGGCCTGCTGACACTTTAACGATCGTGAATACACGGACATAAAACCAGGAAGAAATAAATTCTCACCAGGGACGTCACCACCACATCCACCAAGGAGGCGAAGAAGCCTTTCTTAGCTCCGAGCTTCTCGTGGGAATAACGGACTGCACGACGCAGGATCCTCCTCAACACGTAGCTACACATGGTGGAAACATAAAAAAAAAAAAAAA